GGTGGGTGGGTGGGTGAATAGGTGAATGGATAGATGGATGGATGAGTGGGTAGATGGATGGGTAGATTGATGGGTGGATGGGTGGGTGGAGCGGTACATGGAAGAATGGATGGATGATGGCTGAGTGAATGAATGATGGGTGAAATGAATGGGTGAGCAGGTTGATGGGTGGTAGTAGATGGAAGGAAGGGAGGGAGGGAAAGAGGGAAGGAGGGAGGGTCAGATAGGTGTTTGGGTCCTAACTCAGAGCCTTGGAGAACTTCTCATCCTTCCGTGGTGGCTCCATATGAAGTGGCCTGGTACCAAGTGCTTTGCCTTTCCAGTGCCACAATCTGTGGCTTTTCCATTATTGCTGCTGTCAGTGGGAAGTGCCGGACCCTGGGTACCTCATGTACCGAAGGAAAAGCTCAGCCAGGGACGTTTCCCTGTGCGGAGTGCGGGGTGGAGGTGGGATGCATAGGATTGTGTAAAGAGACATCCGGGCCAAGGCTGGGCACAGCTGTAACTGCCGTAACCGTCAGTCTGATCTGGGATCACAAACACTTGGGGGCCCTCGGGGTGAGCACTCCTTCCCTCTGGGCTGAGGGTGGTTTCAGATCTACACAGAACTAAACCCTGGGTGTGCAAGGGACACTCTGAGGACTGTATTTGGACGCGCTGGAGGATGCTCTGGCGGGCAGGGCAGTGGCTGCTTCCTCCTGCCAGGGCTCTGGAAGAGGAGGTCAGCTTGGGCCCCATGGGGCAGGGGACAGCCAAGACCCCTCGAGAGGGGCTTGCTGGGGTCAGGGGGGACTTACCCTAGGTGTGGACTGAGGTCTGCTCTGTCACTGTGCTGGACTGGGAGCCACAGGGCCCAACTTGTCATTCATTCGTTCATTCAATGATTACTGAAAACCTGTAGCCTTCCCCAGGCCCTGTTTGAGGCATAGAGGATGAGAAGGAGAACCAGACAGAACGGGTCTTCCCGGTGCCTCCATTCTAGAAGGATGGCCACAGGGTCAGCACCTACTGTAACCGAGGGCTGTGTCCAGGCAGGAGAGATGCCAGTAGGTCGAGTGGGATCCCTCTGAGGCCCAGGGACTGGAAGGCTCCCAGTCTCCGTGGCTGGAGCCACCTGCCTGGCCTGGCTCTGCAGCCCGTCCACCCACCCAGTGCCCACCCAGGCTAGGTGAGTCCTTGGACTTCTCCCAACAGTAACAGCAGCATCTGAAGTTTGATTTCTTTGCCCTGACAGTGCAGGGCGATTGCTGCTCTCCTCCTGGCGGGAATGAAAGTCCAGAGATCAGGTGGTTTGTGTAGAAAGCTGGGGGCGCCGTGGGGGACTGTGCTCCATCCGCCACACCTGTCAGAGGACGGTGCTGGGCCTGCCAGGGCCCTTCCCTGCCCGTGTAGGCCTCTGTCCTTTCTCTGTTTCTGCCTCTGCCTCTCTGTCTCTCTGCCTCTCTCTGTCTTTGTCTCTGTCTCTCTCTCTGTCTCTCTCTCCCTTCCTCTCTCCATCTCTGTCACTGTCCCTCTTCCCAACCCCTGCCTCTCCTCTCCCTCTCCCTCTTCCTCCCTCCCTCCGTCTGTCCCCCTCACCCCTTCCTCTTCCTCCCTGCTGCCTCTCCCGCCTGCCTGTGGTCTAGATCGGTGATTGGGTTCCAGGGGAGGGGAGGGGTGCAGGTTGGGGACGCCGCCCTGCGTTTCCAGAGCTGCAGTTCAGCTTCATCAGGGTTTGCCGGCTCAGGCCTCCCTGTTTACGCGGCAGAAATGTAGCCTTTTCGTCATCACCTGCACAGCCAGGTGCACTGGTGCGGGACGAGCGTTCTGCCTTCCACGACTCACTGACCCGCATGAGCCGCCTGGGTTTACTTGGTGACCGGGAGGAAGGACAGCATCCTGCGGTGTGAGGGAGGAGACGGGGCTGGGGAGGGGTCTGCCCAGGGCCACCCTGGGCTCCAATTCTTGGACTCTCTCCCCTCAGAGACAGCCAGGGGAGGCTGAGCATCCGGCCTTGCTGGTGTTCTTTCAGAACCCGCATCCCACGGAATGCAACTTGTGTGTGCTGCTTACAGGAGAGATTTAATCAGGGGAGAGCCGCTCCTAGAGCAGAGCCGGCAAAACCCAGGGCTCGACAGCAGGTTCACTTCTAACGTATAAGAATGCGTTTGGCCTTTCCAAGTTATTTCCTCCCCTGCTTCTTGGAGGCGCGTGTTGACTGTTGATGAATCACGGAACTTACATTCTCTGGAGGCCCGAGGAAAGGGAGAAATTGTCCCGAGGGTCCTGTCCAGGGCCCTGACCGCCTGTTCTGTGGAAGCCGAGCCCTCCCAGTGAGCCTCCTACATGTCTTTAATTTTCGAAGACTTGCTTGAGAAAGTGTCTGTGCCTAGGAAGCCGCCCCGTTGGCTCTGGGTCCTCCAGGTGGGTGAGCGAGAGTCTTAGGCAGTGTGGGCTGCCACGGCAAACACCACACCGGGGGCTTAATCGACAGAAATTTATTTTCTCACAGTTCTGGAAGCCAGAGGTCCCTCCCGTTCCTGGGGAGGGCTCTCTTCCTGGCTTGCAGACAGCCGCCTTCTTGCTGTGGCCTCCCGTGGGGGTCAGAGAGCGGGCTCTGGCCTCCTTCCTCTTCTTATAAGGACAGTAATCCTGTTGGATCAGGGTGCCACCTATTGTTCATCTCTAGGGACAAATGCAGCCCTTGCCGGCCCCTCCGACCCTCTGCAGGGTGGCACAGAGGTCTCTCAGGGACCCGGCTCCCCTCTGACCAGCTGGGTGACCTAAGGCAGTCACAGCCCCTCCGACCGTTGCTGTCCTCGGCTGTGGGGGAGGCCGGCAGCTTCGAGGTGCTGTGCGATGAAACGTGGCCTCTTTGCAAATATCAGGCATGTGCCCTTCACTTTTGAGTTTGGGTGGGGGCAGTGATGGGAGCAGCCGGGGGTGCTGCTCCTTCCTGTGTCAGTTGGGATCCCTGTAGCCCCCAGCCCCAGATGTCCCCAAATGAGAAGCTCAGACACACTGGTTATGTCAGACCCAAGACATCTCACACCCATTTCCTGGCCTCCAGGGACTGGGAGAAGTGACAGCTCTGAGGGGTCCCCTCGCCCCTCGGCCATGGCCTTGGACTCTCAGTTTGGGAGGTGCCTTGGCCCAGGGAATGGGCTCCAAGCTGAGGGGACGGGCAGCCGGCTTCGCTTCTGGCCCCTGGTGGGCAGCTGCCCCCTGCCCACCCCGAGAGGTGCCCGCAGCGGGGAGGGTGCGCTGTTGAGCCCAGGCTGTGGGTTAGGTTGACAAAGCCTTCACTACCCACACGTGCGGGATTTTTTTACCCAGCAGCCCTAACGCAGCGGCTTCCAATCCCCCAAACTCATTACCGTCCCTGCCGAGCCCGGGGGGGATCAGGGCGTGTGTCGGCTTCATTTATTTCACTGCGCGCTGTTAATCAGGCCGCCCATCTCAGGAGACAAACCTGCGCTGTCTTTGCATCCCGTGAGTCTTTTTTTTTTTTTTTTTTAACTGGTGGTTTTGTGCCCTTTCTGAGGAATGGTTTGGTGTCCTTCCTCTTGCCGCACTCAGCCAACTCTCAGTTAGGGTTTGTTGAATGAATGATGTCGCTATGGGCTGAGTCCCCGGCAGCTCTGTGTTCCGGGGAAGCCCCCGCGGAGTGTCACCTCTGTCCTCACCACTGCCTCTCTCTCAGCTCCTGTACGAAGAGTGGGCGCGGTACGGCGTCTTCTATAAGTACCAGCCCATCGACCTGATCAGGTAAGAAGGGCCCCAGGCAGGCCGGGGCCACAGGCTGTGGGAATCCAGTCCCTAGCTCATGTCAGTCGATAAACGTCCCTGTGCGTTCCAACTGCCCCGAATATTCAGTACCTGGGAACCTGTTTGAACTTGAAGAGCTTGTGTAGGAAGAGCCACGGCCTCCCCGCAGGACCGGCAGCCTGGGCCGCGTTGGCGAAGCAGCCTATTCAAATTCCCCAGAGGACGGCTCTTTCCCGTCACCTTCATGTCTGCTCCTAAATCCTCCCCCCACACCCGGGGCTGGCCCGGCCGGCCGGCAGGCGGGATTTCCTGCATTGCGGTGTTGAGGGGAAGAAAAGAGCGGCCTCAAAACGTGTAAGAATTTGGCCTCTCCCAAGAGGACCTCTGTCCCCGTGGGGCAGGAAGGAGCGGCGACCAGGGTAGGCAACGTGTCCTGTGGGGACTTGCAGGGACCGGGAGCCGCTGGTTTGGCCTGTGGAAATGCATCTAAGCCATCAAGGTGCCAACGACGCTTAGCGTGAGGAGTGACTGGTTTTCCTGGCACCTCCGTGCTGAGGCTCATTCCAGTCCTTGCGCTGAACAGGACTCGGAGCTGACAGCCTCCGGAGGAAATACGTCTGCACCCGCCAGTGTGGGCCGTCGCCAACAGAAAGGCGCCCACCTTCCCGGGCCCAGAGGAGAAGGGGACGGGCATAGGGAAAGCAGAGGGCACCCCCAGACCTGATGGAGCAGCCCCGCGCCCCCCTCTCTGCCTCCTACTGGTGGCCCCAGTTTGTGTTGGTCCTTGCTGGGGAGGGGACCTGGCGTGGCGTAGGATGAGAGTCAGCTTGTCTCCGTCTGTGCCCCTGTGCCCCCAGGAAGTACTTCGGGGAGAAGATCGGCCTGTACTTCGCCTGGCTGGGCGTGTACACCCAAATGCTCATCCCGGCCTCTGTCGTGGGAATCATCGTGTTCCTGTACGGATGCGCCACCGTGGATGAAAACATCCCCAGGTAGGCAGAGCCCCCCGCCCCCGCCGGCGCACGCCCCCTTCTTGGTCTGGCGTCCCTTTCCTGCAGTTCCAGCGCAGAGTTCCCTGGGACTCTGGCCCGTCACACCGATTCCCGCCCACGCGCTCAGTGCCTGGGAAGTCGCGTGCCACACCCAGGCTGTCAGGACCAAAGGCACCGTCCGAAGGGCTCGGTCACCATCTAAAAGTGTGGCTGCCCTTTGGGGCATGGTCGTCCTGGGACATGTTTTATTGTCAAGAGGAAGACATGTATATCTGGCCCATTTTCGTTCTTTAGAAGGTTTTTTGGGTTCATTTCTTCCTTTTCATTTTTGGTCATTATGCAACCAGAAAATTCACGGCTTCGTGGTGAGCTCAGGAAGTGAGACAGATGAGTGTTCCGAGACCTCTGCTCAGGCTGGCGCTCAGGAGCCGTGTGGCACCTCCGCCTGCTCCGTCTTCTCAGTGGGGCCTGCCCCCTCCCCTCCTGTCCTCCCCGCAGCTGGGGGCATGTTGCAGGAGCAGGGCCGTAAAAGAGGGTGGCATCACTCGGCGTACCCAGGCCTTTGCACGTAGAGCTGGTCTGCCTTCCGCTGCGCACCAGGCGCGTGTCACACGTAGGGGAGCTCTCGAGACCCACGGCAGCCCAGCCCCACTGGGAGGGGGCAGTTCTCCCCGAGTGGCAGCCAGGACAGGAGTCAAGCGGTGCAGGTTTGAGAATTTCACCCTCGGTGTACGGAGCAGTCCCCAGCCTTCTGTGGCTGTGGCCTCGGTGCCCCAGCACTAGCCCAGAGATAACCACAGGCCACAACCTCCTGGGGACACTGCGCTGTTCTCAGCGTTTATCTCATTGCTCCACCGGGGAATTGAGACCCTAAAGGTGAATTCAAGCTGGCCCTGAAAAGCCCCAATGTATCGGTCCACTATTTTCCTAACGACTCCGCCAGGCGTCTCCAAGGCAGCGCTAGAGTGTGGAAAATTCATCCGCAGTTCCCGCGAGTCTCAGCTGCGGAAGAAACGGCTCCTAGCACAGAAAGACCATATCCAGTCAATTTCTGTTGAAATGATGTTTTCACACATGAATAACACCTAAACTATTCCACCCCCGAATCAAAGCTTTGCAGGAATCTGGCTTATCTCCCGTGGGTGTTATTTTGGTCCTCAGCAGGAGAAAGCCTGTCCCTTTGTTTGCTGATGTGATATGAGGTCACCGGCACTGGGGCTGGATTGTGGTCAAGATCAAAGTAGCCCAGATGTGGTGGGGATTTTAAGGCCGACTTTTGGCTAAAACAGCTCAAAGCTGGAGGGAAGTGACCAGTGAAAGGTGGGGAGTCCCCGTGGCCCCTGGGGGAGGCTGGGAGTCTCCAGCTTCCTTCCTCCCTCTCTCCCACAACGGCGGCCTTGAGGCTCAGCCAGCCGGGTTGTGGACGCCCCGTGGTCATGCCAGCTGGCTGGCCTTCCGTCACATGGTCGGACATGCCAACAGCAGTTACTCAGGATCCAGCCACGGCGGGGCACAGACAAGGCCAGCACGGAGGCCGTGCACGCCCCGTGGAGTCTGTCCTCCCTGCCAGGGCTGTAGGAGGCCAGTGCCCAGCCTGGTGCCACTGACCCCCGTGAGAGACAGACCTCCCTGCCCTTTGTCTGTATTGTGGCTGAAGGTAGTGAGGCGAGAGGAGGAGGGTTTAAAACCAGCAGGAAAAGGCTTCTGTCTGGCTGGTGGTGGTTGCTCTGGAAGCTGAGGCTGGCAGGGAAGCAGGCTCAGGGGCCGTGGGGGTCGGGGCCACAGGGCTCAGGGGCCACAGGGCTCAGGATGGGGCAGGCAGGGTACTCCTGAGCCCTCCCTGTCCCAGTCCCAGCCCTCAGGGCTCCAGGCCACCCCCAGGCCAGGTGGTCGCTGTGGCCCTGGGCCACGTGCTGATCGTGGCAGGGGTGGCACTCCACTACAGGCTCCCTGGGAGAGGGTTGCAGGTCACACCCAGCTGGGAAGGTCCTCCCTCACACCTCCTGTCCCCTTCTGCCTCTCTAGAGAGGCCCTCAGGGGAAACAAGACTTGGTGAGGGTCAGAACCCCACAAGGCCGGCTCCCAGGCGTCTGCTTAAAATCGCTGCTGTCGCCAGGCACTCGGCTATTCCCACAATAATAACAACGTGAGTGACCTCGTGTGTCTGAGGTGTGCCAGGCCTTGTCCCAAGAGCTCCACACACATCGGTCTCCGATCCTCCTGACGGCCCAATAAGACAGGCTCTTTGTTATCAACACCCCCATGCTGCGGACGGGAAAACTAAGGCACGAGGAGCTCGAGTCACCTGCCCAAGGCCACGTGGTCACGGATGCTGGAGCCGAGCGTCAGACCCGTAGCTGGCTGGGCCCAGAGTGCACGCTCCCTGTGCCTGTGCGTGCCGCTCACCTGCCCGCTCCCGCTGTCATGTGCTCTCGCGCACACGCCTCCCGGACGCCCCGGGACGGTGGCCTTGGCTGTGGTCAGTCCCTCCGTCATCTGTCCATCTTCAGTGCCACACAGGGCCTGGCGCGTACAGTACACACGTAACTGTTACACAAACGTTTAGCGACTGTTACTGAGAGCAGAGAATTGAGCCAGAGTGCCCACCGCGCTGCGCACAGAGGAGGGTCCCGCGCAGAGCCTTGCCACAGTTGTTAATTAAACACCCCCTGCTGTGGGCCAGGCGTGATTCTGTGCATCAGTTCATGAGTACATAGAGATTTAAAAGGTAAAATAAAAACAAAGGGAAAACCACCCATTCCGCTCTCTCCCAGATAAGCATCTAACCTCTGGGAAGGAGCCCTCCAGCTCTGAGCTGGGCCCCAGGTAGCAGGAGGGAGAAGGTTTGGGGCAGGCCAGAGCTGGCAGGACCTTGTTCTGACCCCCTCCTCATTTTCCAGAAAGGCCACAGGACTTGGCCAGGGTCACAGAGGACAGGAATAGCAAGCTAGGACCTGGTCTGGGCCACCCAACCTCAGCAGGGAGCCCCCCCATGGCTTTTGGGCGGTAGGTGAGAGCCGTTCAGTGCACGGGCTCTGAGACAGAGACCAAGGGTTCAATTCCCACTGTGCTGTGTGGCCCTGAGGAAGTTGCTGTCCCTTTCTGGACTCATTATCTCATCTGTGGAGATGGGACTGTAATAGCCTGCAGTGCTGATCCAGGCCAGGTTGGAGACCCACGCAGGCCAGTAATGCGGCTGCTTCTCACGCCACTGGTGGCCTTGAAGCACTGGCGTGTTTCAGGATCAGCAGGGAAGAGTGCGCGTGCCGAGGAGGAGGAGGTGGGAGGCCTGCCTCAGTCGCAAGGCTCCGCCGTCCCGTGCACAGCAGCTGGGCTCCGGCCCCAGCCCTGCCTGTCTGCTCACTGCACAGGACCCACCGGCGATCCCTGGAGGGCTGGCCGGGGCCGGGGCTTCTCCCAGAGGCGGCTTGAGGACAGACTGGGGGTGTCGCTGCCCAGGTGTCACCCCAGAGACGAACACTCTCAGGCCCTTCTCCTGCCACAAAGCAAGCCTGGCTGGGTCGAGGGCTGGCTTCAGGGGTGGCAGGGCCCCACACAAAATGAAAATGCGAGACCTTCGTCCAAAAACCACTCTGCGCTTTAAGACAGCAGCAGGGAGCGTTAAACCCAGCGTGGGGCCCTTCCGAGCTCAGGCTGGGGCAGCAGCACGAGTCGCACCTGTGAAGCTGCCGGATAGCAAGGAGGGACAGGCCATGGCTGACGCTGGCCCACGTGCCTCGTCGTGGCCACCGTGGCGGGGACCTAGGGCACCCCACCAGCCCCCAGCTCGGGCTCGGCATTTCCTCCCAGCCCAGAGCGGCACCCGGGCAGCGCTCCGCCCCTGACCCAGCGACTCCAGACCTGCTCTCTCTTCCAGCATGGAGATGTGTGACCAGAGACACAACATCACCATGTGCCCCCTTTGCGACAAGACCTGCAGCTACTGGAAGATGAGCTCAGCCTGCGCCACGGCCCGGGCCAGCCACCTCTTCGACAACCCGGCCACCGTCTTCTTCTCCGTCTTCATGGCCCTGTGGGGTAAGCAGGGCCTCGGCTCGCTGGGTCCCGGGGCAGCAGTGACTCTGGGTGGTCTCCTGTACGTCCGCCGTCGTCCGCCGTCTGTCTCCGTGAAGTCCTCCGCAGGCAGGGTTTGCCAGGAACAAGCATGGAGGTGGGGGCTGGTAGAAATGACCCCCCATTTTGTGCTCAGCTTACCAGGGTCTGTGTTGCATCAAGAGATGCAGAGGGGTCATTCTGAGCCAGCCGAGAGCCCCTCGGGAGAACCTGGGAGGGATGCTTTGCTCTGAGAAACCCTGGGACCAGGGTTTGTTGGCCCAGGACGGGCAGCTGATTTAGAACAGGGGGCCCGAGGGCTCAAGGGCTGGGCTTCCTTCCCTGACCCCACACCCCATAGGGAAAGCTGACCTGGGCCAGGGCCTGGGCCGACTCTGTCAGAGCCTCACGGCAGCTCCGTACGCACACTTACAGGTGAGCAGCTGCCTGGGGTCGCTCAGCTCCTGGGCAGCCACAGCAGGTTTCGATTCCAAAGCCACAGGGCTCCACTGTCCCCCACATCTAAGGCAGGCCCCTCCCCTCCAGAAAGACTCCCTAATCTCTGCCCCCCTCACGCCCGACTCCGGCTTTGGGCCCGTGCAGGTTGGTAAGTGGCGGTTGAAAGCATTTCTGCAGGCAGTTTTGGGTGAGCAAACAGTGCTGTTCCCTCCTCTGTGGCCCCGTGTCACAGCCTTTGCCAGTTGGGGATTCGAGATTCCTACAGTGGGCAGCCGTGTGCTGAGCTGTCCCCGGGGCCAAGCACCACGCCGGGCGCCCAAGCTCCGCCCTGCCTCCAGGGCTCCCGTCTGGTAGGAGATGGGCCAGGCACAGGCAAGGGTGGGGACCCTCGGGGGAGGGAAGTCAGGAGGGGCTGTCTGGAAGAGGTGTGGGGCCCTTGAGCTGCGTTCGGAAGATTTGGGGATAAGGCAGCTTTTTGCCACAGGTACAGTTGTAGAGTCGGGGTTAGTGGTGGCAGAACTCCGGGAAGGGGACCCTTTGGAAAGCGCAAGAGAAGCCACTGGGAGCCTCATCAAGTCCCACTTCCCTGGCTCTGTGAGCCCCCAGTTTCATGCCAGAAGTTCCCTCTTTCCCTGCTTAAATCTCTGGGAGGAATCCAGCCGCCAAACTCCCAGTCACTTCTTCTCCAAGTAAAGGCCCTCTGATTGGGACAGACATTTGGTGACTCCAGAGGACCCCAGTGCTTGGCGTTGGCCATCGCCATACCCCCACGAGTCCAGGAGGTGCTGCTGGGCTTGGCCGAGCGCTTTCATCCGAAGCACAGGAATACAAATTGCCACCCCACTCCCCGAACGTGAACAAAGGGTTTTGAAGGGCCCTGGAGAAACCAGCCTTCAGGTCCTGCCCCTCCCGGAGTTCTGCCATCCCTGGCTTCGTCTCGGGATTTGGAAGGACGCAGCCGTCTGAGGGCCCCGGGTGACATCCTTTTCTAAACTGAGCCTCCCAACGTGTCCTCCGTTGTGGGACTCCCCAGCGCCAGGCGGTGGTTCCGAGGTGCGCGGAGCTGGGCCCCTCTGCAGGGAAGCGCTCGGGTTTCATTTCCTCCTCCTCTTACGAGAGGAGCACCGAGCACCGCCTGCGCCTGCTGTGGGAGCCCGGTCCGGGGAAGGGAGCTGAGAGGTGAGGGAGCCCAGATGAAGAAATAAAACATCCCAGGCTATAATTATCGTATTTCCGGCTCGACACACCTGGCAACCAGAGGTCTCTGTGCTAAGCGCCTGCGGTGGTTCTTGCTTGGGGAGCGTGAAAACCTCCGTTGCAGTCTGGTCGCTGCAAGAGCCTCTCACCCGGGCCTTCTCCTGGGAGTTCCTTCCTGCCGGGTCACCCCTCGAATTCGTCAACATGCTGGTTGTTTTGGGAGAGACGCAGGAGAGTCCCTTGCACCCCGGGCTTGGCAGCAGCCCTGAGTCCCCCAGGCCTGTGAACCCCCGGATGACAGAGAGCACGAGCGCCGGCCCACCCACGCCCGCTTCCGGGAGCGCCTGCGGGAGGCTCTGGGCCTGGCCCCGCTTCCCCAGTGGCAGAAGCCCTGGGCTTGTCACTCCCACTTGTCCGAGCAAAGGGTCTGGGCCTAACGTTTAAAACCCAGTGGTTGCCCTGTGGTTCTCAAACTGGGTCCCCCAGGCCTTTGCCCGGCTCCCCACCAGGTAGAAGGTTTAAGCCAGGACGAGGGTTGAGGGGAGACGTGCCTGGCGCCCACCACACACTCCCCGACCTGAGAGTGACTATTGTGAAATCTGGCAGCACGGGGGCCTCCCTGGCCCCACCCTAGGCCCAGCCTTAATTTAAAGGGACATCAGTCCTTTTGCCTGTTTTACGTCTGGGGCTTCTGTGCAGGATGTCTTCGAGGAAGACGGGAGTTCCTCTGTTGAGGTTCAAAACCTCAGCTGGAGCCCACAGCCCACTTTTAACAAGCAGGGACCCGGGGAACAGCAAGGAGGAGGGGCGTCCTGGCCGTTGTCACGGTGGCAGTAATCACGAGTCAGCAATCGCACAGAAGCTGCGTTCAGACCTGTGAGGTCGGACCGGTGAGGATGGCCGGCCAAGGCCATGTGCTCAGCTCCACGGTGCAGGGTCTGGGCAGAGCAGGGCGAGGGAGGCGGATTCCCGTCGGACATGGAGACGGACACGTGCAGAAATGTGCATGGACTCGGGATAAGCACCGTCATCTCTCTCTGTGGGCAGAGGTGTTCGGCTTCCCAAACAAGGCTGAGAATGGGAGTCATAGGTCGCCAGCTCAGCTAGCAGGTGACTTCCAACGGCGAGCTCTGCGCCGGGCTGGGCCGGCCAGGGAGGGGCGAGTGCCCATGCTGGGACGAGTTCAAACCCAGCTTGGAGGCCGGGGCTACCGCAGAGCACTGGGAGGTGATGTCTGTGTGTGGCCTGAGGTCACGTGGCTTATGGGCAGATTCCCAGCTCCACGCTCTAGCTCCGGGTGTTAATTTGGGGATCAGCTGTATATACATTTAGAACTGGTAGCTCGCCGTCACTGGGCTGAAGCCTGTGTGCCCACGCGCCCTCCTCCATCCCGCGGCGTCCCCACACCTGGAAGTGTCCCCGTCTCACAGGAAAGTGAGTCTCCACTGGCAGGGCCCAGACCTGAACCCACGTCTCCCTGGGCCTGAGCTCCCTCCACAGCCTGCCACGGCTGCCGCTCAGACCCGTGTCCATCGGGAGCCGTCTCCCGACACCCTCCCCCAACCTCCCTGAGTCTCAGCCTCCCCTGCCGCCCTGGAGACCTCAGCACAGGGGCGTTCCTCCTGGCCTCCCCTCTCTGACCTTGGCCTGGAGGCGCTGGGGTGGGAACAGGACTGGCTGGGCACCCATTTCCCTGCCCTGAACTGGGAAGAGTCACCCTAAGCCGGGCTCGGCTTGCACAGGCTGCCGGCTTGGCGGTTTGGCCCAACTGGATAACTCAGCCGGACTGGTCACATAGTAGGATGGTTAGATAGAGTCCAGGTCCTGGGCCTGGCTCAGGTTCAAATCCCAGCCCTTTCACCTGCCAGTCCTGTGACCTCGGGAGTTTCTTCTTCTCTCTGGGCCCGGGTTCCCCAGTGATAAATGGGGACAGTAACAGCACCCACCCTGCAGGGTGGCTGGGAATGCGGATGAGTCACTACGTGAAGGTCTTGGGCTGTGCCCGGCATGGGCCTAGGGCCAGTTGTTACATCCCGCTGGCTGTTACGAGTGAGCCCTTGCTTGTTGGGAATTTGAAAACATAGCCCAGGCCCTAGAGACTGAGGCTCACAACCTGTCACCTTATGCCTGGGACCTCTGTCAGTCATGTGACTCCATCCCCTTCGCAGCCCCACCGTGTTCCAGGTGCGGCTGCAAGCATCTTGTGTGTACTGGCTCATTCACCCCCAAAGCAGCAAATAGCCCTATCACCCCATTTGGCAGATGAGCAAATCGAGACAACTGCCCCAAGCTTACACCAGCTAATAAAAAGCAGAGGCAAGGCTGGAACCTCAGCATCCTGGTTCCTGAGCCCCAAACACTGGGCAGCAGGCTCTGCTCCCTCTGCCTGCGTCACTGTTCCTGGCTGGCCCAGGAGCGTAACACCTGCCTAGCTTATTCCTGACTGCATTTCCTCAAATGTGTTTTCTCCCTGTCTGTCTCCACAAAATATGCCTCCTCCCCCTCCCGACCTGCACCGAGGCACACACCCTCCCTCCCGACCTGCACCGAGGACTGACTGTGTGCCAGGGCCTGGGCGAAGAGCACTGCACAGGCTCCCTCAGTGATCCCCACAGTAGCCCCAGAGGGAGGTTGTGTTGTTTTCTCTGATGAGGACACTGAAGCGCAGAGAGGTTAAGTGGTTTGCCCAAGGTCACACAGCTAAGAGACCTGCAAATAACAGATGTCACAGATCCGCACCCTGGCCTGTCTGCCTCCAAAGTCCAATCGAGTGCCCTGGTCACACCTCCCCGTCCAGATGTTCCCGAAGCCCCCTTTATGTGCCCTCTTGGGGGAGCAGGAATTTGCCATGAGCCAGTAATGAGGGGCACAGGGGCGAACGCTGCTGAGCTAGCCGGTCCCCACAGGGCTGCAGTGACATTCATTAAATTCCCTGCACCCCGCGGGATGAAGGCAGCTTGCTCGCGCAGCGGTTCTGTGTTGAGCTCTTACTACTCTGCACCCTCAGCGCGCCCCTCCCCCGCGGATGGAGGCCGGGGAAGGGGCAGATCTGTGCCTGGTGACTCAGCTGGACGTTTCTGTGCTTGCCTTATGCCTCCCCAGCTCCGCTTCCACCGTGGGACACACAAATGCGCCCTGTCTGTCAAACAGAGAGTCAAGTGCAAGATCCGTCTGCGCACTGCCATGCGGGGGAGGGGAGAGTCATGGAGAAGCCAACTGCTCCCCTGAAGTACTGGCTTTGGAGAAAAGGGGTTTGTTATAAACGGAGACAGGAACGGCAGGGAAGGGCCTGCTGGCCCAGAGGTACCTGGGCCGTCCCACTCCTGAAC